CCCCTCCTCCCTCAGACCCGGGAGTCCAGACCCCCAGCCCCTCCTCTCTCAGACCCGGGAGTGCAGACCCCCAGCCCCTCCTCCCTCAGACCCGGGAGTGCAGACCCCCGGCCCCCTCCTCCTTCAGACCCAAGAGTCGCGGCACCCCCCCACCCCCCTCAACTTTGGGTCCCCAGCTCCACCCTAGAGGTTGGAGACCCGGAGGGTGGGGCCGAGGCTGCGGGGTTGGCCGGTGACGGCCTCTTTCCCTTGCTGGTCCCGCAGGCTCCAGCTCCTTGGACTACACCCGGGGCAACCTCGTCCGCCTGGGACTGGCTGGCCTGGTCCTCATCTCCCTGGGCACACTGCTCGTTTTCGACTGGCGCAGCCAGAGTCCCGCCCTTGGTAGCGCCTGGCCCTGAGCCCCAGAGGACTGGATATAGATGCCTGGAGAGTGAGAAGACTTCCTAGAGAGGGCAGAGAAGACGCAGGGATCCCTTGGGTTGGACTGGCCCTTCCAGGAGCTCCACAGGTCTCCTGACCGAGCCCAGCTTCCCAAGTAATAATAACCTTTGTACTGTGCACTCTATCTTCTTTCTGGATCATTTCTCCAGGACCCCCAATCAGTGGAATGAACTATCAGTGGTACCTGATAGGTTAAGGCTTCCTATCCAAAAGACCTGGGTTCGAATCCCAGTGCTGCTGCTCACTCACCGTGGGACGTTATGAAAGCGACCTTCCACAAACCTCAATTGCCTTGACTGTAAAATGGGCGCACTGATAATACCCACCTCATAGGATTGTTGTAGGATTAAGTGCACAATACACATCGAGCGTTTTAAACAGTGCCTGACCCATAGTCAATGCTCAATAAACGTTAGCTATTGTATAACCACGATTTCTACCAGACTCGCAGAACCGGAATGAAGTTCTAGTCCTTTTTTCCATGGCGCATGCTCCAGTTTAGCTTTTAAGCAACTCACGCCATTCCCTGCATGACATCACTCTTGGTCTCCAAACAAACCTCTTCCAGACTCCTCAGACCTTCCCCAAAGGTAGACCAAGATCAGACCAAGTAGAACTTTTTACCTGATTACAGCTTCGTGCAGCGCGGGCTGTTTCCCTTGAACCCGCATTATCCTTAAGTGGGGGTCTGTTGCCAAGGCAACAGCAAGTGGAGTCTGCGCAATAGAGTTTTGACCTGGACTCGTAAACTCCCACTGGTCTGCTTCCCGCTGTGCTCTTGGCTGCCCTCACAGGTGTGGTCAAGATACCGCAAACGAGTCTGCTTTGCAACCTGTTTGCTCTCCTTCTGTTGCCTCCCTTCCTCCCGAAGGCCTGGCTGCTTGCACAGTTTCCCCTGAATTTATTAATTTAACTTCTGTTTTTGTCCGGCTAACCTTGATGTCTTTCTCATCCTCATACGCACGTTTTCTCTGTCTCTGTGCACTTCTTACCGCTCCACACTCGTGTTCCTTTCTTGACTTATGCCTAATTTGCGTGGAGCACACATCCTCTTCTATTTTTATTGAAATTTCCAACTTCCCCTCCCCTTTTCCCACTTTGTGGAGAGGAGGATGACTTCTATTTTTGGGACAGCCCCAGCTGCGCCACCCAGTAGGTGGGTAGCCTTGAGCAATCTGTGGACTCTCCTGAGTTTTCGTCTGTGAAAGCGGAAACCAAAAATATCTACTATGTTAGTTCTAGAGAGAATTAAACGAGATAACTTTGTCCCCAACACATGGAGAGAGATCACACAAGCTTAGAGCAGCAGCTTGAACATTCCCGCCCCCCCCCCCCCCCCCCGCCCCAGGAGATGACACAGAGTAAGAAGTAAAGTTTACATTGCGACCTTGTACACACATCCATTTATATCTATCAACTAAAATTCAAGTTCCACGAAGAAATATTTACTTCTGCTACATGGATGCACATTGATATATTCTATTTTATTAAAAGTCCTATCATGATTTCCTTCACTGACGTAGCCACCCCCACGCCACACACACACACACACACACACACACGCGCGCACACACACACACGATTTGAGGAAGGACGAACAATATTTGTTGGTATGTTCTTTTGTTTCAGAAACTGACCTAAACCAGGACTTGTGTAAAGATTGGGAAATTTAAAATATGGGTAAACAACACAAAACGATGTTGTTTCAACACCCAATTCTCTTAGCGGACAAGATTTGGGTACTCAAATGTGAGATTAAGCAGAACTGAATTTCCAAGTCAAATTAGCTGCCTGGGTGCATTGACTTGCTGAAGAGATGGGAGGAGAGATTCTGAGCAGAACTTTCTGGGTTTGTACTTAGTACCAATGTGAGACTCTGGCAAAGTGTATCCAGGGCAATCCCCTCTGGCATATGTGGATGTTGGAGATCAAGGGAGAAGTAGGGACCCAGGTTTGAAGGAGGGAACGAGACCTGGATGGGGCTGCAGACTCATCAAATCCAATCTGCCCACTTTACAGGTGGGAAAATAGTGGCCTAGAGAAGTGACATGAAGTTCCTCCAGAGTCATACGGGAAGTCAATAGCACAAAGGGATGCTTCCCACGAGTTTGTACTTCAGCTCTGTTCCATCTCTTCACTCCCTCATTCATTTACTGTTCAACCACTCAACTATTTACTCATTTATTCTGTCATCCATTTATTTGTTCATTGATTCTCGTCTTTCTGTTCATCCATCCCCTTCTCACTTGGTCTCATGTACACATCTATCTATTCTTTCATTTACCCTTATTCATCATTGGTTCATTCTTACATCCATTCCTCCCTTCCTGAATCAATTTATTAATCCACTCACCTGTTTATTTACTCATTCAATACCCATCAATCTCCCCATGCACTTATCTATCCAATAAATCCAAAAATAGTAGTTTACCCTGTGACAAGCACAAGGCTCTGAAGAGACCAAGTGTTCAATGAATGCTTATTGAGCAAATAATAGTCATAATTTCACTTCTACCATTGGTCATGCCTCTATACCATCATTTTTACAGGCCATCCACATATGTTATTCCTAATCATCACCAACAGCCCTCTAAGACACATACAGCTGTTTAACCTGGGACTTCAGAAAGTCTGTGTGGTTAGACTGTTGTTTTTTTCCTGTGGCTGCCTCTTAACAACAACAATGACGACAACAAGGATCTTGGACGACAACAAGGATCTCTTCCAGTTTGCTGAGTCAAGACTTCTGGGTTTTACTGGCTTTAGTCTCCTCTCTCACTTTCACTTTTAAATGAGGAAGAGAAAGGAAAATGTTATTACACTTAATGATTGCAAAGCAATTTATGGCCTTCTGGGACAGTGGTTCCATGTATTTGTCACCCACCAATGCTCAGAGTTTGCAAGATGTTCGTAATGAGACTGTGATACGTCTGTTTCAACCGGTCTCTCCTTTCTGTTCCCTCTTGCCTGGCTAACTCTACTGATCCCTCAGGTCTCGGGTTAGAAGCTGTTTCCTCTGCAAACTCTCGCCTGACCCATCTGTGTTCCCATAGTGCCTCATCACATCCGAATTGAGTACTGATCATACTGCATTCTGATCCTCTCTCTCTCCCAGACTAGACCACAAGCTCCTCCCAAGGGACCGGGTTGTTTTATCTCTACATCCCCAGGGCCTGGCACATAGGTCTCAGGAAACAGGCACAGTCTCACTAGGTGAGCTCTCCACGCTGAAGATGACATACACAGGCTTTGTACTTTCTCCCTTCTATGGTGGGTAGAATAGTGGTTCCCCCAGACATGCGATGTCCCAATTCCTGGAACTTGTGGGTATGTTACACATGGCAAAAGGAACTTCACAGATGTGATTAAGAATCATGATATGGGGAGACGATCCTGGACTATTTGGGTGGGTTCAGTGTAATCACAAGTGTCCTTATAAGGGGGAGGCAGGAGGGTCAGAGTCAGAGAAGGTGATATGAAGATGGAAGCAGAGGTCAGCGTGATGCAGGGCCCCAGGCTGAGGGATGCAGGCACCTCTAGAAGCTGGAAAAGGCAAGGAATCGGATTCTCCCCTAGAGCCTCCAGAAGGAACCCAGTCTACCGACTCATTTTGGACTTCTGACCTCCAGAACTGAAAGATAAAATATTTATGTTGTGTTAAGCCCCTTAGTTTGTTGCAATAGCAATAAAAAAACAAATACTATTCGCTTCAATTGAATCTCCTCTCTTATCCCACAAACCCAGGCATCTTCACCCTTGAGACTTCCACTTTTGTCCCCGTACCTGTTTCCCCCAAGTTCTCACTCATCTGCTTATCACACATTTATTTAATGGCTACCATGTGCGAGGCACTGTGCTAAGGGCTGGGGATACTATGGGGAGTAACAGCAGACATAAGCCTACTCTCATGAAGCTCACAGAGAAAGGCATCAACCAAATTACTACCCACTGTATTGATTAGGGAGCACTTCAAGCTGCTGTAACAAAGAGACCCCCACAAGAAAAAGACTGTATACAATTTTATTTCTCTCTCACTTAATAGTACATAGTTGAATAGTCTAGGGCTGTTTATCAACAGCTTTGCTTTTATGAACATGTAGCTTTCACATCTTGTTTTGAGCCAGCAGGAGACGAGGGAGAGAGAGAAGATAGAAGGGCTCATACAATCATTTTTAAGAGCAGGACCCTGATTTTGAACATGTCTCTTCTGCTCACATCCCTTTGGCGAGAACTTAGGTACATGGCCAGGTCTAGCTGCAAAAGTGGCTGGGGGAAATATGGGCTCTAGCATGTATCCTTCTAAAAACGGGAGGGGGCGGAATTTAAAGGAAGGAGGGGAATTTGGATGCTGAGAAACCATTCACCATATCCTGCATTACAACCATAGCAAAAAGAAGAGGGAGTTTTGAAAGCCTGTAGTAGGAGGATTTGATCTAATCATGGAGATCTCTGATGGGTTTGCTGAAGAAGTGGTGTGAGATCTGAAAGTTGAGCAGATGTTAACTAGGTAAAGGGGGGCTGGAAAGGTATTCTAGGGAGAAGGAACAGCATGTGCAAAGGTCCTGTGGGGAAGGAAGCAAAGCTACCAGTGAGGGGCTGAAAGTTGTGAGCTACTGCCACCTTGTGGTCACATCTTTTTCCTTGATCAGTGCTGAAATTCCTGAACTCACTACGGGCATGTAACAGGACTGCTCTTGAAAGATGATCAATGTGGCTGAAACAGAGTAAGGATGAGAGAAATATAGTAGAGGTAAGGTTGGAGTGTCAATTGGGCTCACCTATGCTGGGCTTTGTAAGCTATGATAAGGCCTGTGCTGGGCACTTGCTATTCAGAGGGAAATTTGACAAATATGGTCCTGGTCCTCACAGAGACTAGAGTCTAGGAAGGATTTTCTGGAAAAGTACTAGATAAAATTCTCTTTCTTTCTTTCTTTTTTTTTTTCCTGAGGAAGATTTGCCCTGAGCTGACATCAGTTGCCAATCTTCCTCTATTTTGTATGTGAGCCGCTGTCACCACATGGCCACTGATAGACGAGTGGTGTAGGTCTATACCCGGAACTGAACCCAGACCACTGAAGTGGAGTGCGCCAAACTTAACCACTAGGCCACCAGGGCTGGCCTGAAATTCTCTTTCTAAGCCTGCATCTTCCTTAATGTGCATTAAATATTTATTTATGTTCTTCTCTCTAGGGGCAAATAGGGTGACAAAACATTGTGAATACTGTTCTCAAATAAGTCTCATGAAAATCAGCGTGCCCCTTTCTTAGAAAGATGACGTGCTAGTCATTTCTCTTGCTTGCCAAGGATCTCCAAAGGTCCCATATTCAGGGAACTATTATATAAATGAGCCGAAGATGGCCTCTATATGTCGGTCCTATATTGTGTACTTCTTCACAGCAGGCTGAGATCTGTTAGCTCAAAAGTCCATGGGCTCCAAACTCAAATTTTTACCCACCCAATTATTTTAAACATAGTCCAATAAGCGGATTTTTAAATTAGTTAGATCTTGCCTATTTTGCATACCCCACGAAATTGCACCCAACATCTGCTAGCCATAGTAAACACTGTGCCTATAAGAGGCCCCAAACGGCTGCCCATTGGAGCTCTCTGACCCAGTTACTCCCTGCTGTGCTGTGGAGCAACATTACTTAGATAAGATGCCCCTCTCCCCACTTGTTCCCTTGCCCTCCTCGCCTTCTGTGTAGTGCCCCCCACCCCACCTTTGCCTTTGGAAGGTTTCATGCTACAAGGCACTTCCCCACCTGCAAACCTGTCAAAGCGGCCTCCAAGTCAAACTCTTTGTGAGCTACTGCCACCTTGTGGTCATATCTTTTTCCATGATCCGAGTGGAAATCCCTGAGCTCACTATAGGCACAATGGGACTGCACTTGCTAGCTTTAGTTGTCTATTTTGGCTGAACAATGAGTTGTGACTGGCAGTGACGAGTGTCACTTCCAAGATGGAGAATCTAATTCTAAGAACTCCTTCCTCCTCACCCTGAGCTCTCTCTTCCCCCTGACACAGCGACCAGCAATGTTTGAGACAGTGGCTCCTCCATCGGTCCAGGCGTCTGAGTGACAAAGATGAAGGGGGCGCCCTGCCAGCTGTTTCTACTATAGTCTCCCTGCCCCACCTGGCTCCAGGCACTCCTCCTAGGAGTGAATCAATGTTACCATATTTTTGTGCAGCTGTCTCATTCAACTCAGGCTTTTATAACAAAGTATCATGGACTGGGTGGATTGAACAACAGAAACTTATTTCTCACAGTTCTGGAGGCTGAGAAGTCTGAGATCAGAGTGCCAGCATGGTTGTGGAGAAAGCCCTCTCCCTAGCTTCCAGACAGCTGCCCTCTTGTTGTATCCTCATGGGGGAAGGGGAGATAAAGGGATGGATATTTCACGTCACTTTTTATAAGGGGACCAATCCCATGATGGGGGCTCCACCCTCGTGTTCTCATCTAAACCTAATTACCTCCCAAAGGCCTCAACTCCCAATACGAGCACTTTGGCAGTTAGAGCTTCAATATAAGAATTTTGGGAAGACACAGACGTTCAGCCCATAACAGCATCCTTCTGAAGATCTTGTATCCATTGCTTATTTTTAAAGAACTATGGAAAGTTCATGCCATTGTAAGGGGGTGGCATTCTGGAATCCTTTCATATATTCATATATAGTCAGAGGCTTGAACTGCAGCTACTCTGAGTCTTAGAATGCCTTCTGATCCTCCTGGAACAAGGCAACGTGAGAGGCTTGTGAGGAGCTTCTAGGGGGCCATCTCCCACTCACCTTCCTATCTCCCCTGGGAGGCTGTCATGAGACACTTTCTTGTTGCTTCTCCAGTTCTGATGAGGTGTGAGGCTTTCTGCCCTGTTCCCCTCAGATAGGAGCTGCAGAATATAAAAACGCTTAGCTGCAGTCAGGATCTGACTCTTGTGGTATCGTGGAAAGATATTTGGTCTTAGTCCCTGGTTCCCAGCACAGAGCTCCTAAAACCCTTGGAACTTCCTGAGTGATAAGGATGATAGGAGCGTCTTTTGTTCTAAAGAGCCCACTCTTGGTAGCTTCAGGATGGGGGCTGGTCATCAAAAAGACCAAGCCTTGATTAGAAACTTGGAACTGTCAGCACCCCTCACCCCCAATCTCTGGGGAAGGGAGAGGGGAGGAAATTGAATTAATCACCAATAGCCAATAATTTAATCAATCATGCTTATGTAATGGAACCTCCATAAAAACCCCAAGGTTCATCCATGTTGTAGCATGTATCAGTACTTCATTTCCTTTTATTGCTGAATAATATTCCCTTGTCTGTATATACCACATTTTGTTTATCCATTCATCTGCCAACGGACACTTGGGTTGCTTCCGCCTCTTGCCTATGGTGAATGACGCTGCTATGAACATGGGTGTACAAATATCTCTTTGAGACCCTGATTTCAATTCTTTTGAATATATATACAGAAGTGGAATTGCTGGATAATAATTAATTTAATACGATTTTTGGCTTCTACACAGTTCCGGGGCCAGAGGGAGGTGAATTAGTTTGTTTCTCAGTTACCCCTGCTGTAAGGACACATCTGTTTGTTCTCTAGTTTCCATAATTTTATCAACATTTCTTGTCTTATGTTAGCTCCTCTCTCACACTTTTTTGCTTCTAAGTTTATGTCCTCTTTGTAAATCCCCTTACTGTCTTTTACTGAGGTTTCGAGAAGAAAGTGTGTGTTCTATCTGCATGTTTATGTGAAAATCTTTATATTTGTCCTTAAATTCATTGGTTCCAAACTCTAAGCTTTAGAAGAGTTCACTCTTTTTTTAAACTTAGTTTTTCTCATCCATGGCACCTCACTTAAAATTTCTAAAGGCTTAAATTTTAAAAACATTTAATTTTTTAATTTTTTTCCCCCAAAGACCCAGTAGATAGTTGTATGTCATAGCTGCACATCCTTCTAGTTGCTGCATGTGGGACGCGGCCTCAGCATGGCTGGAGAAGCAGTGCGTCAGTGTGCGCCCAGGATCCGAACCCGGGCCGCCAGCAGCGAAGTGCGCGCACTTAACCGCTAAGCCACAGGGCCGGCCCTAAAAACATTTAAAGTGATAAAATTAACCTATCAATTTCAACAAATTTATAAAACCCGTATAAGCAAAATGGAAAAAAATTATTGACCACAATTCCACTACTCAGAGAGTAGTACTTTAAAAATACTAGATTATAACTTTCTAGATTTTTCCATGTGCATGTCAGCTCTCGTTCATCATCTGAATCCACCATCTAGGTTGTCTGTACATTCCCTCTACACCTCAACCAGATGTGGAACATGGCTCCCTGGGTTCTCCTGAAGAACTCCTTTCCACCAGAGATTTAATGAAGAGGCAGATTTTACTGAAGATTTCATAGAAGATATTGAGGAGACAGTTTACATGCTGTGCCCCACAGCAAACAACTTACAAATCCATCACGGATATTTCTCTTCTTCAAATTCCTTTTCTGCCATACTGCTGAGGGGGTACAGAAATTTCCCCCTCTACCCCTCTTGAGTTCTTGTGGCTGGACTAATAATAAAATGGACACAAGACCAGATTAACAGGAGAAAAACCAATTTAATACGTCTGTCCAGGAGAGCATAAAAATAATACTCAAAGAGTGAACAAAGCAGGCAGTATATATATCTTTTTCCACAAAGAAACAATAGATTTGTGAGGATTTGACAGGACAAAGAAACTTAGATTTGGGGGTACGTAATTAGTGAGGAATTTGAGTGGAGTTTGGGCTTGAGGTAGTGAATAAGTAAAAGTAACAAGGTTTGTTTATACAGGTTTCTTCACCCTGAATTCCCTGGCTCTGGTGATAAGGATGTCTCTATCTCCTGGTGTGGAGAGGGTACCATTCACATGGGAGATTATTTCCTGCTTTCAGGAGAAACAGAGAGGAGGGTCAAAACATTAAGTCAAAACAAGTAGCTTTAATTTAAAGTGATCAATATGCCATTGTGGATATTTTGGCACACCCTGCCTTGGGCCCCAACACCGCCAAATGAAGATCCCTTTTTCTTACCTTTTCTTTATAGGGTCCGTTCTCTCATTCTCCCAGATTCTCCCTCCTTCCCTGATGTCGCTGCAACTACTCATCTCCTTGCCATCAGCTCTGTCCCAGCTCCAGCCCTCAAATGTTCCCCGGGGCATAACCCAGAAGTTGTCCACATCACTTCCCCTCACGTCCTGTTGACCAGAAAGATCAACATTTCTTTGTGAGGAAGAAATGTAGCTGTTACTCTAGTTTGCCATGGCTCCAGCTATATTCCGTCATTGTGTAGAAGGGGGCAATGGTTACTGACATCCCCGTAGCAACTTTTTACGTATTTTGCTCTGATTCATGACTATGCCTTAGAATTGGGTGCTTTGAACTGTGCGCCCTGGGAGGACTCCGTGAGTCAAACCTGTGGAAAGTCGCTTAACGGCGTGTTGCAATAAATAGTCGTCATTTCCTGATTGTGACCAGGAGGAAGAAACTGTGGGTATGAAAGAGTGGAGGTTTAAAACCCTGGAGCAAAGCTGTTAACTGCATATTCTGGAGTCAAGAGAACATTTTGAGTTACTACAAACAGCAAAACTGAAGGAAGATCCTTGGAAGAGGTTTAGGGGGGCCACCATGATACCCCAAATGCTGATCCTGTTCTGCATTGGTAAGTCTCGGGGGAAGAGAAGGGAGAGCCATTGCTGGCGGCAGTGGGTTGGGCTGTGGACGCAGCTGGAGTTGGCACGGCTTGTGCAGTAGGCAATAAGATCAGATCAATACGCAAAACATAGAAACTTCCACTTCCTGAGTATATATTGTGTAGCAGGAATGTATTGGGTGCTTCACACACATTTTCCCTCTATCTGTTTTTCAAAATTCACTCATTCCCAAACTTCCCAATGACATTCTGCCCTGGGTATGTGACATCGGTATTCTTTCCTACCTGATCTTCTTCTTCAAATTGCCTCGAGTTTTTACATCGTTATTTTCATGCTTAACTCTATTTTAAAAGTAAATCTGTAAAGCACTTCTATTAATGGAAAAGCAGTATCCCTCATCCAAACTAGAAAATAATCGTCCATACATAGCCAGTGGGGAGATAAAGTAATATGATTAAGTTCTAGTCAGGTGTGACTGCCTGCCTGTTGACACTGAGCCACATCTCTTCCTAGTCTTGTTTCTAAGAGATATGAGCAAATAAAAGAAATGAAACAGAGACCAGCACCCAGCTGTGATACTCTTCTATGTGGTCAAGATGGAGAGAGAACTGAGAAAAGAATGACTTTCTCACCCAGATGCAATGTTACTTAATCTCATGTCATTGTACGATCTAAAGTCATTTTATATCTCTTAGAAAAATTCTGCAAAATAGTTCTCATCCCCATATTGCATGTGAGGAATCTGAAATTGACAGCTGAAGTGACATGCCAAGGCCACTCAGCTACTAAGTGGAGATGCTGAATTCAAATTCTGGTCTCCACAGTTCCAAAGACTGTAATTTTCCACTGAGCCATACTAGGAAATTAAAAAGATCATAATTTGGATTCTTTGGGGTGGAAATGTTTGGAGGGTGAATGAAGGGAATCATGGTTGGGAAAACCTTAGGAAGGTAAGCGAACAGTGAATCCAGTGATCTTAATAGATGTTGGCAATCTTTTTATGTAAAGGGCCAGAGAGTCAGATAAGATCTGTGGGCCACAGGATCTCTGTTGCAAGTACTCCACGCCTGTTAGAATGGCTGTCATCAAAAAGATAAGAGATAAGTGTTGGCTAGGAGAAAAGGGAAACCTTGTGCACTGTTGGTGGGAATGTAAATTGGTGCAGCCATTGTGGAAACAGTATTGAAATTCCTCAAAACATTGAAAATAGAACTACCTTGTGATCCAGCAATTCTGCTTCTGGGCACATATCTGAAGGAAACAAAATCACTATCTTGAAAGAGATATCTGTACTCTCACGTTCATCACAGCATCATTCACAACAGCTAAGACATGGAAATAACCTAAGTGTCCATCAATGGATGAATGGATAAGGAAAATGTACATATACGATGGAATATTATTCAGCCACGAGGAAGAAGGAAATCCTGCCATTTGCAACAATGGGGATGGACCTTGAGGGCATTATGCTAAGTGAGATAAGTTAGATGGAGAAAGACAAATACTGTACGATCTCACTTATATGTGGAATCTAAAAAACCCAAACTTGTAGAAACAGACAGTAGAAGGGTGGTTACCAGGGGCTTAGGGGGTGGGGGAAATGGGGAGATGTTGGTGAAACAAATTTCCAGTTCTAAGATAAATACATTCTGGGGATCTAATGTACAGCATGGTGGCTGTAGTTAACAATATGGTGTCATGTACTTGAAGGTTGCTAAAAAAAAAAAAGGCCCCAGATATTTCCCAACGCCCCCCGGAGGGCAAAATTGTCCCCACTAGAGAACCACTGTTGTAAGCTAATTGAACTAGAATACCTATATTGATGTCTAGAAACACATTTCTTAGGGTCAGTTTGTTGTAGATCTGTAAGTACGGGAAAGGTGGGGAACATAACGCTTCACTCTTTCAAGTAATATCAATTTTAGATGTTTGAGATTTACTCTGGAGCACTGAGTAGACTCCTCGCAGCCAATTGGAATGTCAGAGATGCATTCAGTCCGCTCTATCACAGCAGAGAGAAATATCTCAGGGCAAAGGAAGTATCTCAGGACAAAGTTTTCAGCAGCTATATGCCCCTTATCATAAGGCAGGGATCTCCCTACCTCTCTCCCCACCTCTCAGTTGATGTAGATGGTCATGACGTGGAGTTGGGAGGGAGCTGCTACACGTATGGAGGGAATTTGAGAAATCATCCTTATCTCTGGAGCTTCAAAAATCTTTGCAAACGACTGTCTTTACATGAGGCTTAAACTCAGTCAGTCAACACGTATTTACTGAATATTTGCCAAAATCTAGGCTCTGTTCTAAGCACTGAGAATGTAGTCTCTGTCTTCAAGGGTTAAATTTTAGTGACTCCAGATATCTTATGCACCCAAGAGCATCAGGAATAATAGGTGTCGTTAAAACCCAAGTGTTTTTTTTCCCAGCCAGATGGTTTTTGTCATAGTTGATGTCTGTCACACTCTAGATGCTGTGGCACCAGGGGAAGGGATGGGTCCTCTGCCATCTACAATGTTAACACACACCAGAGACACCCTGGGTGACACTCTTAGGGTGACAGAGATGATCAGGAATCAGGTCTTTGTCCTCTCCTCCACTGTGAAATCTAGAGGTGACATCACAGGATACCACAGAAGAATAAGATGGATAAAGGATGGATTCTGGGGAGAAAGGGGTAGGTTCTGGAGAAAAATAGCAGGGCCATACAAAATCCTGGGGGCATCGTGCAGGGAAAGGAACCTGGGATGGTGAAGTGGGACGCTGTGAGAAATAATTAGGAGACTGTGTGGTGGGCCCCACAAAGATGTCCACGTCCTGACTCCTGGAAGCCGTGGATATGTTCCTTTACCTGGCAAAGGAGAAGTAAGGTGACAGATGGAATTAAATTTGCTTATCAGTTGACCTTAAAGTAGGGAACTTATCCTGGTTGGTCTGGGTGGTCTGAATGTAATCACAGGGGTCCTTAAAGTAGTAAAAAGAGGCAGAAGAGGAAGTCAACTCGACCAACCAGTGCTGGTTCTCAAGACAGAGGAAGAGCCCACAAGCCAAGGGACACAGGCGGCCTCAGAAGCTGAAAAGACAAAGAAATGGATTCTTCCCTGGAGCCCCCAGAAGGAACACAGCTCTGCTGACATCTTGATTTTAGCCAGTGAGAGCCATGTTGTTGGATTTTTCTAATGTACAGAACCACAAGACAATAAATTTGTGTTGTTATAAGCCACTAAGTTTGTGTTCATTTGCTACAGCAGCCACAGGAACTAATATAGCAAATGGACGCTGATGCCAAATGGGTTCTTGGGGAGGAGGCTGGGACTGCTGGTGAATATGATGATAAGCGGTCTCTTCTCAGCAAGAGCCACTGGGGAGGTCCCTCCGGGATCAGGGCAGGTGATGGTGTAGGCTCCAGGCAGGCGCATATGTCTCATGGACCATTCTTTTGCAGGGCTGTGTGTTGGCCAAGGAAACATAAGAGGAGATAGTGAGTGTTTCTTCAACTAAACCCTCCTTGATCCTTCATCCCAAAGGCCCCACTTTCCTTTCTCTTCTGTAAATGGGCTTCCTGAGAGCAGGTGAGTGAATCAAATCCAGCCTGGACTCTGCCTCCTTCCAGGGTCACTTCCCAAGCCCTCTCTCGGTGCCTGGCCCAGCTCAGTGGTACCCGCCAGGAGTAACGTGAGACTGCGATGCTGGACTCCTACCAAGGGTGTAAACTTTGTTCTCAGAAAGGGAGGAACTCCTTTGGAGTCCTTGCAGTCACCTGATTCCACAGTGGTTCTGGGTGAATTTCACCTCACTGATCTAAGAAACAGTAACACTGGAGAGTATACCTGTGAATACCACAGAAGAGGGAACCCCCACAGGAGCTCACAGCCCAGTGATGTTCTTTTACTGCTGGTGACAGGTGAGGAGGGGGTCTCAGAATGGCACATACTCTTCCTAGGGACAGGGGATGAGGGAGGAACCAGAGGAAGAGAGAGGCCAGGGGGTCTCATCTCCAGTGAACTTGGGGAGGGAGATGGAGAAAGACAGGAACAGAGTTGATTATCTTGGCTTTATCCAAGGCTGAGAGGAGGTAGAATATCATTCCTGGAGTCAGAGCTGAAAGAGGGTGAGATGAGGTATCTGTCATTCCCCACACTCCATGGGAACCCCCTGCCAGGAGAGCACAGGTGAGTGGGGGACCCCAGGCTTCTCCCCATGACCTCAGAGCCTCCCTTCTCTTACAGGAGATTCTCCTAAACCTTCCCTCCAAGCCCACCAAAGGGGTAAGGTGACCACAGGAGAAAAGGTGACCCTTACATGCCAGCTGCCAGACAATTTTTTGGGGCCTGTAATGTTTGCTCTGCTGAAGGCAGGAAGTTCAATGCCCATCCAGCTCCAGGGTCCAGCAGGGAAGAAGACAGACTTCTCCCTTCAGAATGTGACAGTCAATGACACTGGGAACTACAGCTGTGTCTACTACCAGACAAGGGCTCCTTTCTGGGCCTCAGAGCCCAGTGATCATCTTGTGATCTGGGTGACAGGTAAGGTTTTTACCATCGGGAGAACTATAGCTGGATCATCTGCCAGCTGAGGTTCCGTGACCTGGAGTGCACTGGAGGGTGATTCCGTCCCTACAAGACTCTGGAGCTTGGAAAACTCATTTGGGAAGAACTGAGTTAGAGCCAGGATCCTTTGGAATAGTGGACAGGACCTTCTGCTAAGAGAGGGAGTGTGGATGGTGAGAATCACATAAAAGGAGGCTGGGCAGTGGGCTTCCCACCATGGATGACCAGATGTGCCCTGAGGGGGCCCGGCTTGGGGGAAGAATTTGTAATACCTGGCCCCCACTAGGAGAATAAGATATAGCCACAAAGTCATGCATATCTCTGGATGGAGCACAATTCATTCAGACTAAAGTGTGAATGACACCTCCTGGAGTTATGCAGAAGGAGGTTCCAGCAAGAGGGCAGAGGAGGAGAGAGAATAAAAAAGGGCCCAGGGAATACCTTTCCAGAAAGATCTGTTTCATTTTCTTTCATACTCTACCACTCTTGCCCTTTAGCTCCACCAAGTTGAACTTTTCATTTCCTGCCTAGCCTTTTCTTTCTTTCTTTTTTGAAAAGAATAATTTTTAAAAATCGTGGTAAAAATGCATAACATAAAATTTACCATCTTAATCATTTTTAAGTGCACAGTTCAGTAGTGTTAAGTACATTCACATTGTTGTGCAGCTATCACCACCAACCATCTCCAGAACTCTCTTCATCTTGCAAAACTGAACATCTGTCCCAAGTAAACAACAGCTCCCCCTTCCCTTTCCCTCAGACGCTGGCAACCACCATTCCACTTTCCATCGCTATGAATTTGACTACTCTAGATTCTCATATAAGTGGAATGATACAGTATTTGTCTTTCTGTGTCCGGCTTATTTCACTGAGAATAATGTTCTCAAGGTTCATCCATGTCATAGCATGTAACTGGACTTCCTTCCTTCTTAAGACTGAATAATATTGTATTGCCTGTATACACCACATTTTGATGGACGCTAGGGTTGCTTCCACTTTTTGGCTGTTGTGAATAATGCTGCTATGAACGTGGATGAACAGATATTACTTAGAGACCCTGCTTTGAATTCTTTTGGCTGTAGACTTAGAAGTGGAATTGCTGGATCGTATGGTAGTTCTATTTTTAATTTTTTGAGGAGCCTTTGTACCATTTTCCACAGTGGCTGCACCATTCTACATTCCCACCAACGGTGCACAAGGGTTCTGTTTGCTTGTTTCTGAAGGGATGTTTTTTGACCCTTGTGTACAAGGGCTGTTTTTGAGGATTGAGTTTGTTCAGGACAGAGAGGAAGAGAGGCCAGGAGGAACCAGGCATCATCCTGGATGGGGGCTGAATCCCCTAATATTGATATGAGGACCAACCATAACTCACAGGGCAGTAACCAAAGATCCCAGAATTTCCAAAAGGCACATGGAACAAGGATTCAAGGATTCAAGGTCCTTGAGAAACGCCAGGATCTTGAAGGCAGTATAGGGTATGAAAACAGGTTCTGAAGTCAGATGGACCATTGGTTCTCAACCAAGGGCCATTTTGTGGATGTATGACAATGTCCGGAGACATTTTTCACAGCCACACCTGGGGATGGGGGTGCTGCTCCTGGAATCCAGTAGGTAGAGACGGGGGATGCTGCAAAACATCCTACAATGCACAGGAACTCCACAATTATCCAGCCCCAATGTCAATAGTGCCAAACTTGAGAAACTCTGCTGTAGGTGCGTTGACTAGTTTCCAGTAAGACACCAGAGTTCTTGGCAGGGACTTGAAGGATGGAAACCATACTCTTCTCCAATCCCTGAAGCCTCTAATTACTTAAAATATGTGCCTCCAGCCAGTGGCTATTCAAGAAACCTTTAATAATGATACTGGTTACCTAACTTGGCATCATTCGTCTTCTTTTAAGGTCACTTGTGTGTTTTCTACCCCCCACCCCTTTATTCCAAAGTTTAATCTATCTGCAGTTTCCCACTCTGATTTCTTCAGGGCCAGGTGCTAGGAATCTGATGGTTCATGGGGTTTATCCATCATTTCTGAGCTTTGAACAAGATCTATATGGTCTCTGGTTCTGCAGAAAGCAGCACGCAGCTGGCAGGGAGGGCTGAACTGACAGGAGGCAGCCGTGATAAATAGCACCCCACTTCCTGATGGTGGCTATGAGATGGAGGCTAAGATTGTGGGACAGAAAGTGAAGAACTGAAAGCGGTACCACAGGGAACAGAGGAGAAAAGTGGTCAGGTGCACTGTGAACTTCACAGGCAGTCCTGCTGCCTTCTTTGAAGGACAGAGCTGAAGGAGGGAGTCTTCATCTTAAGGGTCCACTTCTGGTTTGGTCAAATCCAAGAGGCAGGGTCAACACAATTGTAAATGGTAAAGGCAATGAAGAGCAATGGGGTGAGCACGTCACATCAGCGGAGCTTAGTGAAGCCTGACTACAGAAAATGGCCAAGATAGTCCACTTGTTTTGGGAACCACAGCCATATCTGATTTAAGATAATTCTCCTGCCTGGCTGTATTAGCCAAGGTTCTCCAGAGAAACATAACCAATAGGAAATATATATATATATACACCCAAATATAATATCCTATATGTATATATCTCCTATGTATAATATTATATAAAATATATAATATATATCATGTATATGATAAGAATTTCTTTTGAGAAATTTGAAAAATACTACCTAATAGAAATAATAATAAAATAACAGTCACACATCCACCACCCAGAGTCACACTTGCTCACATCTAGTCATTTTTGCCCCAAGTTATTTTCTTTCCACAAATAAAGATAGAAAGTCCTTTTTCCCTCCCAACACTATTCCCATTATTTTGCCTCTTCTCGGTGGAAACTTCTACCCTGAACTTGATGTTACCATTTCTGTGCATGTTTTTACATTTTTAGTATACGGGTACAACTTTGTAAATAATGTATAGAATTTTTAAAATTACATATCCATGGTATAATATTGTGATTGTTTTCTGTAACTTGATTTCTTTTTCTGATCAGACCATTTATTTGGCAACTCAATAAGTGTACAATTTTGTGACATCCTGTGTGTTGTGTTCTTTTTTAAAAATTATTTTATTGAGGTCTTACTGGTTTATAACATTATGTAATTTCAGGTGTACTTTATTATACATCAGTTTCTGTATAGACTGCCTCATGCTCACCCCCAATAGTCTAATTTTTATCTGTCACCATACACATGTGCCCCTTTACCCCTTTCACCCTCCCTCCACCCTCTTCCCCTCTGGTAACCACTAATCTGTTCTGTTTATCCATGTTTGTTTATCATCCACATATGAGTGAAATCATACGGTATTTGTCTGTCTCTGGCTTATTTTGCTTAACATAATACCCTCCAGGTCCATCCATGTTGTTGCAAATGGGACAATTTTGTCTTTTTTTATGGCTGAGTAGTATTCCATTGTATAGATATACCACATCTTCTTTATCCATTCGTCCCTTGATGGGCACTTAGTTTGCTTCTACATCTTGGCTATTGTGAATAACGCTGCAAGGAATATAGCGATGCTTAAATCTCCTTGAATTGTTGATTTCAAGTTTTTTTGGTTAAATACCCAGTAGTGGGATAGCTGGATCGTGTGGTATTTCTTTTTTTAATTTTTTGAGGAATCTCCACACTCTTTTCCATTGTGGCTGCACAAGTTTGCATTCCCTCCAGCAGTGTATGAGGGTTCCCTTTTCTCCACATCCTCTCCAACATTTGTTATTTTTTGTCTTGTTAATTATAGCCATTCTGACATGTGATTTTTTTTTTTTAACTCAAGAATTTCGTCTTCCGGATAAAACTGAAGGAAAGTCTCCTGAGATAGCAGGAACAAGACTAGGTAAGAGAAGAGTTTCCTGGGACCCAGAGTCTTCAAACGTGGGATGAGACTTCCTTGTGAGGTGGTAAGATATTTTTCTATATTTTGATGATGCCTGAAGGTTGTGGGTCAATGCAAGATCTTTCGAGGTGGGTAAGGTTAGAGTCACAGCTCTGCTTACTCCTCAGTTGGGTGACTTTGGAAATCTTACTTCAACTCTCTGACCCTCAGCTTCTGCATCTGCAAAATGGGCATCATTCTATCTCCCTCCCAGGATATCTGTGAG